ATCACTACAATTTTGTAAAGTAATTAGCCTCAAACTAATAAAAATAAATGAAAAAAAAAAACAAAAATATTCTATAGTCAACCTCCAGTGAATTTTTGCTAATTTTAACATTCCAGAAATAATCTATTCAATTTGTTCATTAATATTAATTAATTTGTTATTTTGTACCGTATAGTTTTGCTTGTGTTCCACACTAATCATCATATGTGATACACAAAAGACAATTTATATACTTCAAAGACAAATATAAAATATGTTGCAATGAAGTGTATTAAAATAATAGAATCCTTAACCTCCATTAACAATAGCATGTTTCAGGATAATTACATATTAAGAGGTAAAATCTGTTGACATAAAAACATGTATAGTCTTTTTTTTTTTAATGTATAGTCTTTATGTCCATCAAACATTCATGAAAGAACCTGAAGACTCACAGGAGATGATGTGGTGGCAATGGAAGTGTGTTACTCAGATCTTCGAGAAGCAGAGTGGACGGAGGACCCCAGCTGCTGCCCCTGGGACCCACCACTGTGTTCCTGATGAAGCTACACGTCCCCCACCAGTGAGTGGGTGTGGTGGGACTGCGGTGAATGAGTGTGCTGGCCTGGCCCCCAGAGACTCCGCACGAGCCTTGCAGGCTTTTCTCATGGCTGTGCTGCTGAGTGAGACTCTTCCCTCCCAACCCTTCTTCCCCGCTCTCCGCTCTTCACAGGTGTCAGACTCAGCCTCCTCCTTCCCTTTATAGCTCACAAATGTCCTCCCAGTGAATCTCTTTCATGTTTAATCCCATATTAGCATCTGTTTCTCAGAGGAACCAAACTAAACATGGATAATTATAAAAGAACAACTTACAGGTTTTCAGAAAATGTCATGTAAAGTTTGTGGCTTTTTCGAGTATAATTATAATTTAAACACTAATTTTACATTGGAGATTTCTGGGAAATTGTAGGTTCAGCATTGGTGTACAAAGTGCCGTAGTTTGAGTCTTGTACCTAGTAGGTGTTTTGGTGAAATTGAATCATTTCCGGCATTTTTTTCTTACTTTGATGTCAGTTGCTATAACCCACCATAAGCCAAAATACAATATTATCAGCTATTAAACTGTTAAACCTACTATTACCTCTTCCAACAATACAAGAGACGACTCTACACGTGGACATCACCAGATGGTCAATACCAAAATCAAATCCATTATATTCCTTGCAGCTGAAGATGGAGAAGCTCTATACAGTCAGCAAAAGCAAGACCTGGAGCTGACTGTGGCTCAGATCATGAGCCCCTTACTGCCAAATTCAGACTTAAATTGAAGAAAGTAGGGAAAACCACCAGACCACTCACGTATGACCTAAATCAAATCCCTTATTACACAGTGGAGGTGGTGAATAAATTCAAGGGATTAGATCTGGTAGACAGAGTGCCTAAAGAAGGACAAATGTTCGTAACATTGTACAGGAGGAGGAGACTAAAATCATCCCCAAGAAAAGAAATGCAAGAAAGCAAAATGCTTGTCTGAGGAGCCTTACAAAATAGCTGAGAAAAGAAAAAGAAGGCAGAGAAGAAAGGGAAAGATAAGCCCAACTGAGTGCAGAGCTCCAGAAAATAGCAGGGAGAGGCAGGAAAGCCGTCTTAAGTGAACAGTGCAAAGACGAAGGAAATAATAGGATGGGAAAGATTAGAGATATCTTCAAGGAAATGAGAGATACCAAGGGAACATTTCATGCAAAGATGGGCTCAATAAAGGACAGAAATGGTATGGACCTAACAGAAGTGGAAGAAATTAAGAAGAGGTGGCAAGAATACACAGAAGAACTGTACAAAAATGGTCTGAATGACCCAGATAACCATGATGGTGTGATCAGTCACCTAGAGCCAGACATCCTGGAGTGTGAAGTCAAGTGGGCCTCAGGAAGCATTACTACAAATAAAGCTAGTGAGGTGATAGAATTCCAGCTGAGCTATTTCAAATCCTAAAAGATGATGCTGTGAAAGTGCTGCACTCAATATGCTAGCAAATTTGGAAAACTCAGCAGTGTTCACAGGACTGGAAAAGTTCAATTTGAATTCCAGTCCCAAAGAAAGGCAATGCCAAAGAATGTTCAGGCTACTGCAATTGCACTCACTGTACAAACTGTACAATTGTGTGCGTTTGACATGCTAGCAAGATAATGCTCAAAATCCTTCAAGCTACGGTTCAACAGTATCTGAACTGAGAACTTCCAGATGTACAAGCTGGATTTAGAAAAGGCAGAGAAGCCAGATATCAAATTGGCAGTATCTGATGGATCATAGACTCATTGGGAAAGACCCTGATGCTGGGAGGGATTGGGGGCGGGAGGAGAACAGGACGACAGAGGATGACATGGCTGGATGGCATCACTGACTCGATGGGCATGAGTTTGAGTAAACTCTGGGAGTTTGTGATGGACAGGGAGGCCTGGCGTGCTGCGGTTCATGGGGTCACAAAGAGTCGGACACAACTGAGCTACTGAACTGAACTGAACTGATGGATCATAGAAGAAGCAAAGGAATTCCAAAAACCATCTGCTTCATTGACTACACTAAAGCCTTTTACTGTGTGGATCACAACAAACTGGAAAATAGGAATACCAGACCACCTTACCTGTCTCCTGAGAAACTTGTATGCAGGTCAAGAAGCAACAGAGCCAGACATGGAACAATGGACTGGATCCAAATAGGAAAAGGAGTACGTCAAGGCTGTATATTGTCACCCTGCTTATTCAACTTACATGTAGAATGCATCATGTGAAATACCAGGCTGGATGAATCACAAGCTGGAATCAAGATTGCTAGAAATATCAACAACCTCAGATGTTCAGATAGTATCACTCTAATGGCAGAAAGTGAAGAGGAACTAAAGAGCCTCTTGATGAGAGAGAAAGAGGAGAGTGAAAAGGCTGGCTTAAAATTCAGCATTCAGAAAATTAAGATCATAGCATCCAGTTCCATCACTTCGTGGGAAATAGATGAGGAAAAAGTGGAAACAGTAGCAGATTTTATTTTCTTGGGCTCCAAAATCACTGAGGACAGTGACTGCAGCCACAAAATTAAAAGATGCTTTCTCTTTGGAAGAAAAACTGTGACAAGCTTAGACAGTGTATTAAAAAGCAGGGATGTCACTTTGCCAACAAAGATCTGTATAGTCAAACCTGTGGTTTTCCTGATAATCATGTACAGATGTGAGAGTTGGACTATAAAGAATTTGAGTGCTGAAGAATATATGCTTTTGAACTGTGGCTGGAGAAGACTCTAGAGAGTCCCTTGGACAGGAGGGAGGTCAAACCAGTCAATCCTAAAGGAAATCCACCCTGAATATTCATTGGAAGGACTGATGCTGAAGCTCCAATACTTTGGCTTCTGATGAGAAGAACTGACTCATTGGAAAAGACTCTGATGCTGGGAAAGATTGAAGGAGGGAGGAGAAGGGGATGACAGAGGATGAGATGGTTGGATGGCATCACCTCATGGGCATGAGTTTGAGTAAACTCAGGGAGTTAGTGATGGACGGGGAAGCCTGGCGTGCTGCAGTCCACGGGGCCACAAAGAGTCAGACACGACTGAGCGACTGAACAACAACAAAAAGACTTGTATGGTGTCCTCAAGCCATCTCTGGCCCAAGAGGAGCTTTCTTGGTGGGCATCCCTCTTACAGCCACTGGAGCCAAAGCTGCCAGGACTGGCTGCTCAGTGAATTATAAGAATTATTGAATGACCTGTGAATATTAAGTATTTGTGATTAGTAAGTGTTCGATATCAGTTCTGGTCCTCTGGGCACTTTGTTCTGCATGTCCCTCCTCGGATCCTTCACTTGTAAGAACTCTTTCTGACACACCAGCTGCCTCTGGGGCTTGGTTCTCACAGATGCTGTTTGTGCATCTCCCCATCCTGCTCCTTCTCCCAGCTGGGAGAGCAATACCATAGACTCTCTCTAAGCTAACCTCTCTCTGTGATCACCCGAATCTGGGTAAAGAATTAAAGAAAAATGTAGGCTTCTCTACTGTTGGGGCTTCCCTCATAGCTCAGTTGGTAAAGAATCCGCCTGCAATGCAGGAAACTCCGGTTTGATTCCTGGGTGGGGAAGATCTACTGGAGAAGGGATGGGCTACCCACTCCAGTATTCTTGGGTTCCCTTTTGGCTCAGCTGGTAAAGAATCCGCCTGCAATGCGGGAGACCTGGGTTTGATCCCTGGGTCTCTACTGTTGAGGTGTTTTAGATAAAGATGATAGAATCTACTCTATGTCAGTGGTTATTAATCTTTTCAGTCTTAAGGCCCTTTTGTACTCTAAAATCTTTTACAGCCTGTAAATGGTGTAGGACACCAATGAACTTTTGTTTATGTGTCTTATATCTGTCAGTATGTGCTACATTAGGAATGAAAGATGAGCAATCTTTAAAATGTTTAGTTAATTTTAAAATAACCTAATAGTAAGCCCATCACAAGTTAACATAAAATAACATCTTTTTGAAAAGCAACTAAGGTAAAATAACTTTCTGAAACAAAAAAAAATTAAATGATATTGCATTCTATGTTTATTGTCTTCAATGTCTAATAAAAGGCAGCCGTATCATCTCATATCATCTGTTGGGATAATGTTTTAATTGTGGTGTAAGGAAGAAAAGATGTCTTTATGCAGATATGTAAATAGAAAAGAGAGTGTCTCATAGACCCCCTGAAAGGGTCTCAGGGTCCTTGGACCACACACTTTGAAGAACTGCTGAGCTGACCTATGTTGAAAGTGTGCTAGTTGCTTAGTCATGTCTGATTCTTTGCCACGCCATGGACTGTATCCCGCCAGACTCCTCTGTCCATGGAATTCTCCAGGCAAGGATACTGGAGTGGGTGGTATTTACTTCTCCGGGGTCCTTCCCGACCCAGGGATCAAACCCAGGTCTCCTGCATTGCAGGCAGATTCTTTACTGTCTGAGCCACTCATCAGGGAAGCCAGACTTAAGTGACAGGGGAAGTACTAAATACAGACTCCTCAGAAAGGCGAGCAGAACAGGTGGGGCCTCCAAGACCAAATCTCAGAGCTCCAGAGAGCGCTGGCGTGCAGGAAGCTGCAGCCTGAGGTCATCAGCGGCGCCTCTGCGGGCAGGACGCTGCTGCTGTCACCATCACGGGCCCCAGGACCGCTGAGGCTGCCGCCTATCATGCCGGCAAAATAAAGTCCAGGGCATTTCTCTCTCCCCCTCTCCTCCCCTCTGCTGTGGGTGGGGCCTGAAGGCGGAGGTTTGCACCCTGGGGCGGGGGCGGGCCCTGTATGGCAGGTAGGTGCGCTTGTACCAAGTTCAGGGTGGGTAAGGCAGGCTGCACTCTGGGGAGCCGTCTGCGGAGATGGTGTTCCAGAGAATTTTGACAGACGCAGATGTTACCTGTCCACCACTAGCATCAGAGAAAACTAGCTGAGAAGCAGTTTCATTGGGGCATACAACGTGTAAGTGTAAAATATATGAAATATATAGGCATGTAAAAGGTTTAGTAATCCCTCAAACATGGCTTCCCAGGTGGCGCTAGCAGTAAAGAGCCTGCCTGCCAGTGCAGGAGACCTAAGAGATGTGGGTTCGATCCCTGGGTGGGGAAGATCCCCTGGAGGAGGGCATGACAACCCACTCCAGTATTCTTGCCTGGAGAATCCCATGGACAGAGGAGCCTACAGCCCATAGGGTCGCAAAGGACACGCCTGAAGCGACTTAGCACACACACAAACATGTTACATGGCTATTCCTGCTCATTTGAAGAATGTTTCCATAATAGCAGTGTAAAAATAAAGTTTAAATAATCCCAAAAACGTGTTCAATGTCTGTTCCTGCTCATTTGAAGACTCCTTCCGTAAAGTTTGAACATTGGAGCCTGTGATTTATTTGTATGCCTTTTACACAGCCTTCCTTATAATGAATATGAAAAATTAGTTACATGAAAATTGGTTAAAATTTAGCAGCCTGTATTCTTTTAAAATACCACTTAGGTATATTTAGGCCCTGTGTTTCTAACCTAGTTGTAGCAAGTGAAATCTTGTCTGAGGATTTGAGTCCTCAGTCCTGTTAGCAGTTGCTGATGGAAGGAGTCAAGGACACATTGAGAAGCAGTTTGCTGTTGGTGCAGGTGTAGGAAGGACAAGGACATCAAAGGAGCATTTTAGAAGCAACTTACAAGGGCATATTGGAGACTGAGAATATGCACAGGGGAAAACCAGGAAAGTGTCTTTGCAGGCTGCCTTTAAGTAGTCCTTTTGGAAAAACCTGAATTTATAAACTGACATGTTAGACTGTGGACAGTAACCACTGTCTTAAACCACTGTGTTCCCTAGCACAGGGGGTCTCTGTGTTCAAACTGGCATCTACAACTTCAAAGTTATATAACATTTGGATTCTGTGGTTTACCAGAAGAGGTTTATATTTTGTTTCATTCCTAAGTCAATGACTCAGGTAAATCCTTTTATTTTTAAAAAAGCTTACATAAGGTTTTATTTTTGACATTTTCTAATTTGCATCTGCGGTCAGAAGTCTGAGAACTTTTGAGTGGGTGGTTGCATATTAAGTCTGGGCCCTTCATTATATGAGTCACGGCCCTGCCATTGTCCATACGTACATTCCAAATGCTCCAGCAAGGCAAAACATCCGGATCTTGTTATTTCACGGGTTTATGTTGGTAGGCTGACTAGAACGCCCCCTGCCTTCGTCTACCATCGAGTCTCGTCCTCTCGTCCTTTGTAGAATGAGGCTAGGCATAAAGTAGAATCGTAAAATGCTCTTCTCTACTACCAAAACCTGTCAGACCCTAAAGCTTCCCCAGCTCGTCAGCCCCGGGAGCCCATGACCCCGCCAGCAGCTCCTGCTCGCAGAGCCCTGCCCTCACACACACGTGTGCTGTGCTGCTTCTGGTGACTTGGCCGTGATCCTCCAGGCCAGTGTTCTGGGGAGTTTTTCTGTTCTGTAGGGGTGGTTGTTGTTCAGTTGCTCAGTTCTGTCTGACTCTGCTACCCCATGGACACCAGGCTTCCTTGTCCTTCACTGTCTCCTGCAGTTTGCTCAAACTTGTATACATTGAGTTGATTATGCCATCCAACCATCTCATCCTCTGTCACCTCCCTCTCCTCTTTTCCTCAGCCTTTTCCAGCATCAGGGTCTTTGCCAGTAAGTTGGCTGTTTGCATCAGGTGGCCAAAATAGTGGAGCTTCAGCTTCAGTATCAGTCCTTCCAAAGAATATTCAGGGTTGATTGCCTTTAGGATTGACTGGTTTAATCTCCTTACTGTCCGAGGGATTCTCACGTCTTCCTCAACACCACAGTTCAAAAGCATCAGCTTTCAGCCTTCTTTAGGATCCAACTGTCACATCCGTACATGATGCCTGGAAAACTCTGTAGGGATTAGAATCCCCTAAACTGCATATTTAGCGAGGGTTCTGAGTGCAGGTTAAGTTCTGCCACTTAGGTGCTCTGAGTGGGACTTGAAAGGGAGTGTGAGGAGGCTGTGGTCCAGCTTGAGTGCTGCGGCCCCTGGCACAGGCGGAGACTGGCTCTGCCCACGGCCCACGTCAGCATCCAGTCACTAGCCCTGCAGGGCCAAGAGGCACGGCCTTGGGGACAACCGTGCTCCCGAGGGCTGGGCAGCTGCTGTGGTAGTGTCCTCTCGTCCTGACCAGTTCCGGACAGAGAAGTGAGTTCCACTTCCCTCGCTGCAACCGGGCGGCTGTCGCCCCTGCCAGAAGCCACTCTAGAGACCTTTTCCTTGAAGTTATTCCTAGAAGCTTAGTCTCATCACTGCCCATCCAGCCCTTCCAGAAATGTGGTTGGCACTTGAATACCTTTCTGTTTAGAATAGCTGGAGCAATTTCTGTTTTCCATGATGAACCTTGACTGTCTGGTATTTATCTACACATAGACCGTCATGTCAGCTCTGTTCTGGACTCGCACGCCCCTTTCCTCTATGTCGTCTGCAGCTCTCTCCAGATACCTGACCACCCACGTGGCAGTCCTTCCACAGCTGACTAACAGGATTTCCAGAAAGACAGAGAAACAGAGAAGAAGAAAAGAGAAACAGAGTAGAAATTATTAAAGGATCAATACAAGGCTATTTAGCAGCATCAGAGGATCCGCTGCCAGATTAAAGAAGTCCACCAGCAGTGACTCCATGAAATTACAGGCGATCAAGAATAAAGATAACATCAAAAAGCTTCCAAAAAAGAGACATTTTTAAATGTCACATAGAAGAAAAAAAAAAGGTAACGAGCTTTCCAATAGAACACAGGAAAATAGTAAAAAGCAATCTGATACAAATTTTGAGGGTACATTTTTTTTTAAATTTAGAGTTAAATGCAGCCAATATAGCTTGCCAATCAAGTGTAAGCATACAATATACAAAATCAAGTAGGGGAATAGAATAAAAATGTTTTTACACAGTAAATCCTAGGGAAAAAGGAACAACTTTAGTCACATGTACTTCATCTTAGAAAACTACTGATAACTGTGCCTTAGCAGAAAAAGAGCATAACCAAAACAAACAAAACAACAACAACAAAACATGGATCCCGGAAATATGAGCTTCAACACAAGGGAAGTTTCAGGACTTGCTCCAGAGGAAAGTGAAGTGGGAAGCGAGTGGAAGGGGACACAGGCAGGGAGGTGGAAATGGTGGTCTGTCATTTAACACGCTTGAGCAGTCAGTCAGTTCAGCTCAGTCGTGTCCGACTCTCTGTGACCCCATGGAGTGCAGCATGCCAGGACTCCCTGTTCATCACCAACTCCTGGAGTTTACCCAAGCTCATGTCCATTGAGTCAGTGTTGCCATCCAACCATCTCTTCCTCTGTCATCTCCTTCTCCTCCTGCCTTTGATCTTTCCCAGCATCAGGGGCTTTTCCAGTGAGTCAGCTCTTTGCATGAGGTGGCCAAAGTAATGGAGTTTCAGCTTCAGCATCAGTCCTTCCAATGAACACCCAGGACTGATCTCCTTTAGGATGGACTGGTTAGATCTCCTTGCAGTCCAAGGGACTCTCAAGAGTCTTCTCCAACACCACAGTTCAAAAGCATCAATTCTTCAGCGCTCAGCTTTCTTTATAGTCCAACTCTCACATCCATACATGACTACTGGAGAAACCATAGCCTTGACTAGACGGACCTGTGTTGGCTTTGTTGGCTTGAACATTAGAAAACTTATTTAAAACATTTGACAAATATTGGAGAATTTAGGAAACATTAACAGGTACCAAGAAAATGATTAAATTAAAAAATGAAATAGTCATTAAATTATTAACTCCCGGAAAAACAAAACTTTTTGTATAAGAAAGGATATGTAGCTTCAGTACACTATTTGGCTCAGAAGGTATGTGATTATCACACAATCCTAACAAATCCTTACCTGTATGGAGAGGAGGGGGAAGAAGTGGGCAGTGACTGTACTATAGGAAGTCAAGAGATATTTGATGAAACTGATGAATCCAAGGATGACGGCGTATGCATATGATTTAGAAATCTGGCAGTAGATACCCAGAGAATCAAGCAGAAGAGCTGAAAGTAGTTTCATTCATTTCTTAAATAAAAATATTAGGTACTATTTTAAGAATTTGAACATATTAACACATATATGTGGAATCTTGGAAAATGGTACTGATGTACCTAATTGCAGGGCAGGAACAGAGGTGCAGACAGAGAGACGGGACTTGTGGACCCAGCAGGATAAGGAGAGGGTAGAATGAATTAGAGTAACACTTGACACATATACACCACCATGTGTACAACAGCTAGCTGGTGGAGAGCCGGTGCTCTGTGACGACCTGGAGGGGTGGGATGGGGGTGGCGGCAGGGAGGCTCCAGCCAGAGGGGATGTGCTTAAACAGAGCTGATTCTCACTGGAGTGCAGCAGAAGCCAACACAACGTTGTAAAGCGGTTGTACTGCAATTAAAAATTTTTTTAAATAATTTACACAGGTTCGTTGTGGAAATATAGAAAACACAGTATAAAGAAGAAAACAAAAATCATCTATAAAACCTCTGTACTCACTTAACCTTTGATGTTCTTCAATAATCTAAGTATATATACCTGCTTTTTATATCTGTTATTCCTAACAATTTCATAGTGAAAATGAGGTTTCACTGTTTTAATCTTCACTTTTTTAGTCACAAGTGCTGTTAAACGCTCTTCTCCAATCAGCTTTTGTCGTCTCCTGTTAATTGCTGTCTCTTGTCTCTCGCTCATTCCCTGTTGGTTATTGGTCTTTTGTTATCAATTTGTATGAAACTTTTTCTTTTCCCTTGTGGTATTTGTGTTGAAGTTTTTCTTATTTTTGTGGGGTCAGATTTTTTTTTTTCTCTTTGTATACCTTCGCCTCTGTGACCTTAATTACTGGATCCCTTCCCAAGTTCCTTGGTGCTTCCTGCCCATGATGAAGTCTTAAGTTCTGTGTGCTTCCTGGTCTGGCCGTCGACCTCTGTCGAGGCCCCTCCTTCCCAGTCAAGCCGCACACACAGGCTTTTCAGCACCTCCGCAAGAATGTGCATCAGCAACCTTCCGCCTGCAGTGCCCCCCTCCTTACCGTCTGCCCAGAAAGCACCTGGTGATCCATGCCTCACATCCTTGACTGTCTTTCCTGTGTTATTTCCACAGCCAGCTATTACAGACATACTAAGTTGTTTCGCAGTTGATTTTAATTCTCTGTCTTCAGTCAGTCTGTGGACGCCTTGCCTGTCTCGTTCCTGGTTTATTTTGTCAGCTGTGTGCCCCACTGGCAGCATGGTGCTGCTCAGCGAGGAGACACTCGGCAGATGTTGGCTCAGTGTTGGACCCTTCATTATTCGTAGTGGGCAGAACTCCAGTGGCCCCCAAGACTCCTTCTCCCTGGTGTTCATAAGTAGGATGAGAAAGCCGTTCCCTTGATTAGGCTACATTGTATGGCAACAATAATGGAATAGTCCTTCCGGTGTGCTTTGTCTCGGTAAGTCCTTCCGAGTTACCTTTGTAAGAATCCACTGTGGCCAGCCAGGGGAGGAGTCTCCTGCTGGCTTTGAAGTAAGACCCTCTGTTGTGAGAGTGCCGTTGGCTGGGCCCCAAAGGCAGCTTTCAAGCGGTGAGCGTGATCCCCAGTCCTACCACCACGAGGCTCTGAATCCTGTGGACCACGTGAATGAAGTTTGAAGCAGGTTCGGAGCCTCAGATGAAATCCCAGCTCCAGCTGACGCCTGGATTTTAGTGTGGTGAGACCCGGAGCAGAGGACCCAACTCCCCCAGAACCCAGACTCTGGGCCCAGGGAAGCTGTAGATTATGTTTGCTGTTTTACCAGCAACAGGAAGCTGGTTACAGTGTTCAAGCTGGTGTTACTAGGGCATCGGCCTCGAACCTCAGCACCAAGGACTCGGCTGGTTTTAAGACACAGCATTTTGATTAACTGGATCCTTCTTTTCACTAGTTGTGCGACACAATTGCTCTCAGACCTACTCCGCCATGCTGTTGCTCTGTCTCAGAAGAAATGAAGCCCTGCTACCTCCAGGCCTTCTTCTCTGGGCCACTTCCCCAGTTCCTGCTCTGAGGCTCCTTCCGGCTGTGTCCCGTAAGCCTGTCAGACCACTCTGGTTTCCTCACAGTGAGCCTGCTCCCCGGGCCGGATCCTGTGAGTGAGCTCTGCCTGCTATTTATTGTGACATTTTTGTGTGCGGTCTTGCTCTGCTGCAGCCCGCAGCCTGGTCTCGCTGACTGCCAGGAAGATAAGACTTCCTTCTCATAGTGTTCCCTTAATAGGTTTCCTAGCCCGGATGGTTCTCTAGAATTGGGCCAGTTGCCTCCCTCAGGCGAGATACAATAGTTAATCCTAAATCAACTTTAAATTGCTGTAAAGATACCCCGCAAATTCTTTCAGGAGTTTATTTATTAAAGAGTAATGCATTTTTTTCTTGAAAACATCCAAAAATACTAAAAGGCTTGGAATTTTCTCAGGCCTCTGATGTCGATATGAGACAGGTTAGCAAAAAGTTCCGCTTGAGTTGCATGGCATGGGATAAGAACAGGTGGGCGGCAGTTAAGAAAGGTGAAGGGGGGCAGGCACGGCCTGTGTGCAGCCTGAGAGAGGGAGGGCTGGGGGGGTTTAACCCAGAGACGGGCTTGGTCTCAGTCTGAGACCCGTCCTGGTCTGACGGCAGTTGTTCTAAGGATGCAAACTGTGCCTCAGCACTGCCCTCGTTCTCAGCAAATGAACCACGACCCTCAGGCCCTTACACAGGCCCACTTTTTAAAGCCCACCCCACTTTTTAGAACAATTACATTCAGTTAAACTACCAGTATTATTTGTATTTAACCTTTATTGAGGAAACCTAAAAAGAATGACTAGAAATGGGAGTCAGCTCCAGCCAAATTACAGAACTCTCTACCATATTCAGATACTTTCCAAAATTTAGAGCACCTGTAATGTGAGAGGCAAGGATGGTTTCAGAAAAGAATCCTGCTGATGTTGCTTCAGCTGTGCTGAAGCAAAGCTCCGCTTCTGGCTGCAAGCAGCCCGGCTCAGCTGAGGGCCAGTGCAGGGCCGCGGTGCCCCAGATGGCCTGCCAGGCCCTCCACCCACCCACCGCCCCCATCTCAGGCCAGCGGGCAGGCCTTGTCACTGCTCTCAGGCTGGGTCACTAAAAAGATGCTTAGGCGTGAAATGTCATAGCTATTTCAGCCATTGAAATACAAGACAGTTGCCATTTTTCTTCAAAATTAGAGTGCCAGATAGATCTTGCAGGACACGCTCACAACTATTTCAAGACTTCATATCAGGGTTTAAGTCTGCTCCACAAACTTTCATTTCCCCACTCTTTCCCCACTATGCTCTCTGACACTCCTCACATCAGTCACCTCCCAGAGGCCCGCCAGATCCTCACTTGTTTCAAGTTACAGGCATTGCTCATTCAGTTCAGTTCATTTCAGTTCAGTCGCTCAGGTGAGTCCAACTCTTTGTGACCCAATGAACCACAGCACACCAGGCCTCCCTGTCCATCACCAACTCCCAGAGTCTGCTCAAACTCATGCCCATCGAGTCGGTGATGCTATCCAGCCAGCTCATCCTCTGTCGTCCCCTTCTCCTCCTGCCCCCAATCCCTCCCAGCATCAGGGTCTTTTCCAATGAGTCAACTCTTCGCATGAGGTGGCCAAAGTATTGGAGTTTCAGCTTCAGCATCAATCCTTCCAATGAACACCCAGGACTGATCTCCTTTAGGATGGACTAGTTGGATCTCCTTGCATCCAAGGGACTCTCAAGAGTCTTCTCCAACACCACAGTTCAAAAGCATCAATTTTTCGGTGCTCAGCTTTCTTCACAGTCCAACTCTCACATCCATACACGACCACAGGAAAAACCATAGCCCTGACCAGATGGACCTTTGTTGGCAAAGTAATGTCTCTGCTTTTTAATATGCTATCTAGGTTGGTCATAACTTTCCTTCCAAGGAGTAAGCGTCTTTTAATTTCATGGCTGCAGTCACCATCTGCAGTGATTTTGGAGCCCAGAAAAATAAAGTCTGACACTGTTTCCACTGTTTCCCCATCTATTTCTCATGAGGTGATGGGACCAGATGCCATGATCTTAGTTTTCTGAATGTTGAGCTTTAAGCCAACTTTTTCACTGTCCTCTTTCACTTTCATCAAGAGGCTTTTTAGTTCCTCTTCACTTTCTGCCATAAGGGTGGTGTCATCTGCATATCTGAGGTTATTGGTATTTCTCCTGGCAATCTTGATTCCATCTTGTGTTTCTTCCAGCTCAGCATTTTTCATGATGTACTCTGCATATAAGTTAAATAAGCAGGGTGACAATATGCAGCATTTGACAAACTCCTTTTCCTATTTGGAACCAGTCTGTTGTTCCATTTCCAGTTCTAACTGTTGCTTCCTGAACTGCATACAGGTTTCTCAAGAGGCAGGTTAGGTGGTCTGGTATTCCCATCTCCTTCAGAATTTTCCACAGTTTATTGTGATCCACACAGTCGAAGGCTTTGGCATAGTCAATAAAGCAGAAATAGATGCTTTTCTGGAACTCTCTTGCTTTTTCGATGATCCAGCGGATATTGGCAATTTGATCTCTGGTTCCTCTGCCTTTTCTAAAACCAGCTTGAACATCTGGAAGTTCTCGGTCCACGTATTGCTGAAGCTTGGCTTGGAGAATTTTGAGCATTACCTTACTAGCATGTGAGATGAGTGCAATTGTGCGGTAGTTTGAGCATTCTTTGGGATTGCCCTTCCTTAGGATTGGAATGAAAACTAACCTTTTCCAGTCCCATGGCCACTGCTGAGTTTTCCAAATTTGCTGGCATATTGAGTGCAGCACTTTCACAGCATCACCTTTCAGGATTTGAAATAGCTCAACTGGAATTCCATCACCTCCACTAGCTTTCTTCATAGTGATGCTTTCTAAGGCCCACTTGACTTCACATTCCAGGATGTCTGGCTCTAGGTGAGTGACCACACCATTGTGATTATCTGGGTCATGAAGATCTTTTTTGTACAGTTCTTCTGTGTATTCATGCCACCTCTTCTTAATATCTTCTGCTTCTGTCAGGTCCATACCATTTCTGTCCTTTATTGAGCCCATCTTTGCGTGAAATGTTCCCTTGGTATCTCTCATTTTCTTGAAGAGATCTCTAGTCTTTCCCATTCTGTTGTTTTCCTCTATTTCTTTGCATTGATTGCTGAGGAAGGCTTTCTTATCTCTCCTGGCTATTCTTTGGAACTCTGCATTCAAATGGGAATATCTTTCCTTTTTTCCTTTGCTTTTCACTTCTCTTCATTTCACAGCTATTTGTAAGGCCTCCTCAGACAACCATTTTGCCTTTTTACATTTCTTTTTCTTGGGGATGGTCTTGATCCCTGTCTCCTGTACAATGTCATGAACCTCTGTCCATAGTTCATCAGGCACTCTGTCTATCAGATCTAGTCCCTTAAATCTATTTCTCACTTCCACTGTATAATCATAAGGGATTTGATTTAGGTCATACCTGAATGGTATAGTGGTTATCCCTACTTTCTTCAGTTTAAGTCTGAATTTGGCAATAAGGAGTTCATGATCTGAGCCACAGTCAGCTCCTGCTCTTGTTTTTGCTGACTGTATAGAGCTTCTCCATCTTTGGCTGCAAAGAATATAATCAATCTGATTTCGGTGTTGACCATCTGGTGATGTCCATGTGTAGCATCTTCTCTTGTGTTGCTGGAAGAGGGTGTTTGCTATGACCAGTCATTAGAATGCATTAAAGACCTTTGCCACATCCTTTGCCACTGGGCATTAAGCAGTGCCCTGTGGAAAGAGACCAGACGTGTCCTCTTTGTTATTGCTGCTTACACTCTTATTGTGGAAAGTCGCAAAAATACACAGAGGTATAAAGAGTAACACAATGTGTCTCCTGTGTAGCCATCACCGAAGTGTAACAGTTGCTGGTGTTTGTCTGAGTTATTAGTTTTGTTTCATTACCCGCTTAACACTTTTCCTCCCCTGCAAGATACTCTCCAGCCAACAACTTGAGCCTGAATGTGTCATTT